CGCCATCCATCGTGTATATTAGCTCGGCCCCTTAAGGCTGACACTCAAGCGCGCTGGATTGCTCGTGGTGACTATTTTCGCAGACGTGATTTAAGTGGCGATCCGTTTCAACATAGATATTGTTACGCAATCGCGCAATTCTCGCTAGCAAAGTAAAGATATTGCTGCATTTTCAAAAGACTCTGGATCTCTCCGATGAACCACAATGTGTTCAAATTGCGGAACAAAACTTTTGCATTGAGCACGTCAAACATGGTTGCGATTATTTTTAAAAACCGATGAGTAGTCAATTCAAATATTAAACACCTATTGTTGACCTCGTCGCGAATATTCCGGCACTTTGTGGTGTGAACACAGTTAAGGCAATACTGGACCTATATTTTGTCGTAAGATTAGAGCAAAACCATAAATTGACAGACTGATGACTTCATACCCAGTGCACAACAGATTTGATGCCGCCGAACTAAGCACAAGAATGCAATATCTCGCATTTTTTTTCGTCAAGCTTTGTCGTGCTATACCTGGTCTAAACGGTGATGAAGTACTCAATAACTATAGTGTACTAAATCTTAACTTGCTCAAATCATGAGAAAAGCTTTTGATGCGTGGAGCTACAAGAATGTGCGCATCAAAAACCCTAAGTGGCAATGACCAAATTGCGGTCATTGGTCGAAAGTGGGGCTCATCACTGAATCTTAATCTTAAGAAACAATAAGAAACCGAATGTTCCCGTGCACCTAAGAAAGCAATGAGCGCAGTTTAAAAGTGTTTTCGAGTCAAGACATGGTATTAAGGGCTTTGCAATTTGCTTTATTAAGTTGTGCAAGGTAGAAAGCTGTCGTGGAGATACTACCCCAACACTGTGTATTATTGCTGTTTAACTTAGTTAAGGATGGTCGACTACCATCATCGCTACAAAAGAATTTAATCTATTCTAATATGAACAGATTCTTTCTCGAGGAAGGAATTACGAGTCTCTAGTAGAGGAACGGTTAAGCTGACTGGGCTTTAAGGCAAGCGCATCAAGATGTTAGATATACTGTACATTCCACGACTCGACAGACGGATGTTGTAACGGGGTTTAACGAACCCTGATGGACCAGTGACCGTAACAAAGTGTGGATTACATAAGACTGTGTAATCACGCAATGGCGTGGCTACACTGTAACAAGAAGCTATTAGTGCCAGTAGTTACACCCATTAATCAGGTTTTACTATCCAATTAGCAAAAACCTAGAGACTTAGATATAGGCGACTTTACCGCAAATAAATACACTTTCAATTTTGAACGGGAGGTTGTATTTGCCTTGGGTCAAGGTTTTGGGTACTCTTTGTTGAAGTCAGCAAAGTTCGTCATCCTGAAGTCAGCAAGGTTCGTCGCTATGACGTGATCAAGGATCATAAAACAGTATCAGGTTGAGGTTCAACCAGACCAGAACCAACATCAGGTTGAGGTTATAGAAGGTTACGCTCAAGTTCACGTAGCAACCAGTCATTCCAGACAGCATAAGTAGGAGTCAATCACTTTTCATTTTCCACTCTCCGACTACAGTCTCCTTCTCATTCTCTCCACTATCGAAATTAAGAGGTTATGAGCCCAACAACCAATGGTGCGAGCGACATACTCCGCGAAGACAACTACTTCGTGTAGGAGTTCAACGCACGAATGAAATTCGCAAAGAAGGGACTTGTCCAACACATTGACGCAACGAAGGCCCCGAGTGCTGGTGACGCGCATGCGTGAGAATGGGAAGTCAACGATATGAAGGCCTTCGCGACGATATCGACCATGATCAGCGTC